ATATCTTCCTATAATTCTCCTTATTAGTACTGTAAAATCTGTATTAGAAGCCATGGCTTCTATTAAAATGGTACAATGCAACAGAAGGGATGCGGTTTCTATTAGAGCATCTACACATATGAGAAATGGTGAATGTTTGGTTCTCAATTGTACAAAAAGAATGGGTAAGACTTTGGGTGCGACTATTAGGGATGCAGCTTCTAATACAGATTTTACGGTAGTAGTACCGTATGTAAACTTTAGTGTGTCAAAGTTTTACATGTTCAAGCTTAACAAGGTGTTATAGATGCTTAACATCCTGCTCCCTATTAAAGGGCACGGCGGCCATTTTCATGGCCACCCCAAGGTATGTACGACCTAGAAATAGTGCCGTATGAGAGTACCAAGTTGCGAGTCGCAAGTAGCAAAATATGCCATATGCTAGTGGTAAAAACGGCATATGCAAGTGGTAAAATGTATCGTTTGCTAGTAGCAAAAAAGCCCTATGCGAGGGGTAATACAAAGGCTTGTAACGTTTGCTTATAATATAACAACGTACGTTCAATTGTGTTTTATCACAGTAAAATCAAATATTTACCATGGTTATGAAATGATGTGTACATGGTTGGTTAAGATTGGCATGATGCTGTTAAGGTTTTTATTTTAGGGGCGATTCATATATAAAAATAATGGTAGCAAATGAATGTCAACGCGATCTAGCCGAACATATATTTACGAAGAACTACATTTGCCCTCAACAACATTTGTGTGTGGTCCATATGACTTTGGAATGCCTTTCCAAATGACATTAAAAAAGTAATGTTGCGGTCAATTTTAAAATTATGCTAAAAACGCATTTGTTCGAAAGGGCTTATAAGTTACCGTATATTATTATACCTTGTACCTCTTACAGCCAATCAGATTAGCTGATTTGGCGGTTGATATATTCGCATATTGACTTCTCAGCGATCAAAGAGGTAATATTTGGCTTCTGTGTTTGTGCAGACGTTATGATTGATCTAAAAAATGCTGATTCATCATTGAGGTTTGTTGGCGTTTCCTGAGAGAATAACCTGTAATTTATGAACTGGTCGAACGACTTTAACATTCATGGAACTATGGTGTTATATTTTGTTTTATTTAGGTCTGATTGATCCCCAGTGTAGTGTGCTGTTTTTGTTTGTGTGCGTGCGTGCACATCATGTATAAACATCACAGCTTCTGAAATGTTAGGCAGTCATCCGTAGCTAGTTGATAACTACAAAAATCTTAAATGTAACAGTAAGGGATCATTGAATATAAATACATACGAACCATTGGAAATATGATGAAACAGCTACTTGTGAATGGAGAACATTCTAGGTGTTGTCATTGAAAACTTATGATAGATCTTGCAATGAAGCCTTTTACAAACTGTTTTATTTGGTATAATAATACAAATATTGGCCCTAGCCTCGGTTGATGGTCAACAATACTCTCTTTGGGTTGACAAATCTGTATATCGACCTTGGCCCAGGTCAGTAGTTCAATAATATTTGATTGTCTTGCTTAATTTCTTTATATTTTCTGATTATTGAGTTTAGTATTCAAGAATGCAATTTCAAATTCATGTCAAATATAGTGTGACATTGGATATGCAAATAGGTGTTTTTAATTTCCAAATGTTGAAGGCAAAGTCATAACAAACACTGCTGGCAATTTTCCTAAAAATATTGCAATGTGAGGGGTATTGACAGGAAAATAGTAGTTTTCCTGATCAGTTTATTTTGGGGTCTATTGTAATTTTGTGCTAGTATCTATACAAGACTTTCTTTTCTTTTAAGGCGATCATGTAACCCCTTATGTGTTGCGTATTTACTAAACTTAAACAAAATTTGTGAAAATGTATCTGCAAAACCAATCGGAGACTTGTTAAAAAAACAAAATGTCAACCAGTCAGCCATTTTGAATCAAACTACAAAACAAAATGACGTGCATTAGTGAAACGTCAATACCATGTTTGAATGAAATCAGGCAAGGCATACTTGAGAAAAAATGTTTGATTACATGTCCAAATGTTGTCAAAGGTCACAACAAAACAAATCAACTTGCATTTGTAGTCTATTATAACTTGTCTTTGTACCAACTTTGAACAAAATCAGTCCATGCATGTACATGTACGAAAAATGATGCTGGGCAAACAGAACCCAAAACATATTTCCCTGTTTCATACTACATTCAATAGGGACTAAAAAAAATTTAATCACATGCAAACTATTTTCTCAACACATTGAAATCAATCCCATAACTGCTTTTATGAGAGCTACTTTACACCCTTCAGCCATTTTCAAAAGGCAAGTCCTTCTATACTCTAGGCTATAATTATTTCGCTATTGTAATGAAGACATCAAATCTAAATAATAGTCACGTCATGATTTCAAATTCATCAATTTCTTTGTAAATCAACAACTTTTTTTTGCCAGATGTATCTGTTATTATCAACAATTTAAATAAAATTCAAAATATTTTAAAATAAAACTGAAAATTCAAACCTGTAAATTTCAAATAAACCACTAAAGTTAGTCTTGGGCTTCTCTAGTTTACGACATGCAGTTAAAACTCTGTGGAGGTGAGAATGGATTTCTTCATGTACCTTTTCATGAGTACAATCCAGGGGTGTAATCAAGTCTTGATAAAAAAAAGTTGAGGAATTAACAATTTCTGTTCTGGAAAGCATAATTTGGGAATCCCAGCAATTAAATACCACAATAGGGGGTATTTCGACCATCAGGTCGCTTGTTAAGTCTATGGCTAGCTTTCCGAGAATCCTTAGGCCTATCAGCCATACTACCTAGTCCTGCGAGAGACATGCAGGCGCTGATGCACCTGACCCCATTCAGAATGCAACTCACCACTGGCTTGGGTATAATATGTATGCCCCCCCCCCCCCGCCCCCACCCCCCCCGTTGTGTCGACACCGAAAGCACTGTCCCTGCACAAACCTGTGTCATATGACGCCTTACTCGCCGATTTTGGCTAAAATTCCGCTCCGCCGCCTCTTTACAACAGTGTTTATACACGGAACTTGATATTGCTTTTTACAATTTGGGTTGCCTTTTAATCACATATTTTTGTGAAATGTTGTTTATTTAGTGAAATATTATTGTCATACATAATTCAATTTTTGAAACAACAGAAACTAACACATAATAACGATAATAAAATTTGTGTTTGAAGTTCGAAAGTAGTTGCGTTATTTCCGGTTTCAACTAGTTCGAAAATAGAACGTCCTTGAGCGCAAGTAAATCACACGTAAAACGCCTTCCGAACCAGACATTAGCAGCGTAAACTTATTGCAAATTTGTCCAATTTTGGGGCCAGTATGTCCTTACAATATTTCTAAGTTTTATTTATCGTTTTTTAGTAAACATGCCCATGAAACGATTTGATATACCCGTAAAATACGTGCCGGCCGACGATTCACTTCTAAACATTCGAAATTTCGAACAAACTCCCGACACACCTTGCGCGATATGCGTCAGATCGGTGTTGAAAGAACGCCGACCTGCAGCGTCAATGGACACAGGTTTGTGCTGGGACAGCGCTTCCGGTGACTACACAACGACTAATTTGCATATTCGAATATGTTCGAACTACAAGACCCAGTCGGTTAACAAAGTTATGCGTCA